TGGGAGCGGGGCCATTCAAGGAGGGGTTTTTTGGGTGGGTGGGGATGAGATGGAGCAGGAGGTGGCGTCAAGTGACTGGGAACGCACTGGGATGCGAGGGGCCTCCGTGCGGGCATGCGATGCACCGGGCACTTCAAAGGCGGGTGGGTGAGCGGGCAAGGCAGAGATTGCAGGAGGGGGAGAACCGAGGGGTCTGGGGGACATATGTGCCCCTCTGGTGGCATCACACCTGGGGCGCTGGGGACTCTAGGAAGTGGGGTGCCATTTGCCCATGCAGCTGCAGAGGGTGCCCCCCGCTCTCCTCCAGCTCTGCAGCTCAGCATGGCATCTGCCCCACACTTTTACGGGCGCCCATGCCTCCCTCCTGCCCCTTTTGTTACTCCCTGATGCCCATGTGCCCGTCCTCACCTTCTTCTGAGGGGCAGAGGGTGTCTGCATCCCCACTGCCAATTTGGAGACCCCTGTCCCCATTTCCTCCCCTGTTAAGGAGTGTCCCTGTCTCCATGCTCATCCCCGGAGCAAGGGGCACCTGTGCCACTCACCATCCATGTTAGGGTCATTTCTGTCCCAGTTATGGGGAACGGGGTGCCCAGGTCCCCATGTCCATTTGCGGGGTGGGGGTGCTCAAGCCTAGGTCTCTATCCCTACTACGGGGCAGGAGGTCTTCATGTTTCTGCTAGGGGAAAAGGGTGCCCATGCCCTTTTGAGGGGTCCCATGCAGATGTCTATCCCGCTTAGGGGCAGGAGGTGCCCATGCTTATTCAGGAAGCACCCATGCCCATCCCCATCAGGAGCAGCGGGTGCCTCTGTGCTGGCAGCCCCGGCCACGCTCCCCTTCCCACTCCCGCCCCGGCCTCCGTGGTGCCAGCGGGGCGACAATGCTGCTTCAGTGGCACATCAAAGGCGCAGCGCTGGCTGCGGGCACCAGCTCCCCCCGGCGACGCGGCAAGGCCCCCCGAAAGCCCCGGCCCATGCCGTGCTCCCCGATGCGCTCCCACCTCGGCCCCTGCCTCCGCTGCCAGCTGGGGGGCAACCCCCCCTCGCCTGCCCCACCACTGTGGGCACCCTGCCAACTCCTCCTTCACCCCACAGCACCCCAGGGGGAGTCTGGGGTGCAGCAAAGAAGGAGCAGGTGCCACCATATCCTGGGGAGCATCCCTGGGATAGATCCCCTCCAACGAGGGGACCACTGGGTGTCCTGGCAAGCACTGTCCAAATTGTCCCCCTTGTCCAGGTAATGTTGGCTCCAATGGGCCAACTTTTTGTTTAACCAAGGCCAGCATCAGCTGATGGAGACGTCCAGGCCAGCGCAGGCAGTAGGGTCACCCGCTCCTTCCCCCCCATCCAGGTCCCCTTCCCCATGCCGAGTGACGCCAGCAGGACACTTGCCCCCGGTCCCACGGCACCGCCTGTGCCACCCCCACCCTGGCCCCCGGTGCCTGTGCCAACCCCATTAACCTAATTGGCGAGGCTCTCAGCCGTCCGCGGGGCCGCGGTGGCAGTGGGACCCCGGGGCCCCGGCAGATCCCAGCCCTTTGGCGGGGACGGCAGCAGGGCGGCCCAGCGGCCCCGA